AAGGTGAATACGAAGTTCTGTGAATCATCTGATCTGAAGTTGAATTAAAATCCATAACATCGGAAATTCAAAAGCAGCTGTTTCTTGAATTTAAAAAAATTTCTAACAGCTATTAACACCTCCATACATTTTCTTCGTCTTCGACTGTTGTGGCACGGGCAAAATTCTTGCGGCCGGAACACTTGCACACAAGTATGGACACACAGACGGCCATACTCTTGCAGTACCCCCCTGACGTCACGACCCCACCAAGGGAAGACGCAGTTTGGGCCTCAGCCCCACGCCGTAAAAAGGATGACTGAACTGACCTGAAGGACGGTTACCTGAGAGGGATGCAATGGCATTCCTTGGAGTCCCGGAAATACACACACACTGTATAACCACAAACGGTGTTTCGAGAGATTCTTACACAGTGGACCGAGAGGAATGGTTCATTTTTTTTTCTTGAATGATTCATTTGAATTTAATAAACTTTATTTAAATCAAACGAATGGACTTATTCTAATAGCTCAATTTTTTAAATGAAAACAAATGTTTTCTGGATTCAAATGATGGCTTTACTAATTAGAAACTGAATCATTTTTATGATTTCAACGAAGAGAACGAATTTATCATCATGGACTAATCAGTTATTTGGATCAAATAAATCGTTCACTTGACATTAATCAAACAGAAAATTTATGGCGAAGTAATGAATTGGAATTCAATTTGTCCATTAATTCACTATTTATTTCCTTTGATTCAACAAAATTATTGTTGAAATTGCCAGAAAGATTTTTAATAAAAAGTTTTGACATTCTAAAGTTGCAGACCGATTGCAAAATTCTCAAAACAAGTCTCCATGAAAATATCTCTGTTCCCATTGGCTTCGAAGTTCTTCATCAAAAACAAAATTTTATTAATGGAAACCTTACCACAGAATTAATGATGATGACGCGGTAGTGATGTCAGTGTCATATCTGACATACATGTCAAACTTGCCCAAACGAACCGTATCGACGACGAAAAAACTACCGATAAGATTAATAATACTTTGCTCTCGATGTAAATGGAACGAATTCTTATTTATTGTATTTCGTTGAATAGGAACGATACTGCGTTAACGTGTGGACAGAAGAATAATTACCGATGTCAAACAAGTGTTAGTTCAACTAATAATACTCTATGATATATTTTTTTATCCTTGCTTTACTCACTATTCCACGAAACCATAGTATATGAATACTTGTAAATAATTCATCTGTTTATTCAGCTCATTGCTTCCAATGATTTGTCCACCGATGCGATAATGGAGAACAATACAGTAACTATTGACAATACGAGTTCATAAAAATTTGTGTTAGGGACAATTTCCACATTGCCCTATCTGCATAAATAGTATCTCAAGAATCCCAAAATTTCCTCTTCTGATGCACGACAATTGCTTTACATCCTCCCCATTTTAATAGCCATGCTTTCAACTTTATAGTCCTCTAAACTGCCTGGAAAATCATTACAACCGTTGCCGTCCATTAATTCCATTACTCAACACTGTTCTACTTTCTGCAAACGATCCCTACTTATCACGAAAATTCACGGTGATGAAAAATTTAAAGTATTCTATCTATTTTTTGCAGTGTATATCACCTACACAGTAATAAATTATTCCGTATCAATGTCTCCAGTGCGGGTAGTTGAATATTTCGTTAAAATGTTAAAATCAATTCATTTTGTAAGTTCAATTTACCATCAACAGTGAGTTAAATTGTGTTACGGAGTGGATTTTTATTTTCTACTCTAAACTGATTATTATTTTCATGTTGACACCATGGCGGTGTCAATTATCACTCCACTCCTGACTTAACTTCTAAATTAATATACTCCGTGCGTCCACACCGAAAAAGTGTAGATTTATTTTCCCTTCTTTTGGTGTGGACTCAGAGTCCAAATTCACTCAGAATTTTTTACTGCGCTGGAAGACTAGTGAGAGACAATGTGCGAATAACCTAGTAAAAATATCACTGAATATTTTTTTTTCTACCCTTTTATATGAACTGTTGACAATATGACCAATGTTTATAAAAATTTCTCAAATGTTCAGGATAATTGCCATATCAATCCATCCGCACAGACAGTATCTCAAAAATATCAACATTTCTTCTGATGCACAACCAGTTCCTTATATCCTCCCCATTTTAATAGCTATACTTCACACTTTATGGCCCACTAAACTGCCTGGAAAATCATTTCAACAGTTGCCGTCCATTAATTCCGTTCCCCAACACTGTTTTATTTGCTGCGAACTATAACTACTTATAACGAAAATTAACGATGATAAAAAGTTGAAAGTATTCTACACAACAGCTGGGAAGACCAGTGAGAGACGTTTTACGAATAGCCTAGTAAAAATGTCCGTCACTGAATAATCCTATTTCCACCCTATCATACACGGAGAGAAATATTCAATAAAAATTACCAGAAAAGAGACGTAAAAATTACGTTTCGAAACGTAATCTGGGAGCGAAGTAAAATTCAATAAAAAGTGTTCAATCGTCACGTAAATTCTACGATCTTTTCCGTAAAAATTACTCATCCGTCCGACGCCTCACGGCTAGCCATGAGTTACCCTGAGGGGGAGATTTTAACAACACGTTCCATAATTTTTCCGAAACTTTTCGTAAAAATTCTTAAACATCCAAGAATTTTCATGTTCTGAGGCATAATAAGTCTTGAAGTTTCTGTTAGATTTTACAACTTCCAGAAAAATTACGTGACTTTTTCGTATTTTTTCGGTGACAGACCCGAAAATTTACTGAACGTTTCAGATTTATTCTCTTATATTCCTGTAGAAATTCACTGAAAACGATTCTCGCTTGCGGATGACGTGAAATGTTCCGTAATTTTTCTTAAATATTTCTCTCCGTGTAGTAATTACGAGACCGAACGCGCGCTGCAGCGCGCTGTAATTGTAACAATCATAATTGAAAATCTCAAAATTAAATTAATCATGAATTATACTTGCCGCCTCAGGCGACTGGAACCAAAGAGGAATAAGCGTGACAGACTTGCGAGATATCGATAGTTATCGACTTTAAGTGTATGTTCTTTTTAGAATACGATGAGCAATACCAATGCGTACAATAATTTCTCAAATATTCAGGATAGTTACCGTATTAACCTATCTGCATAGACAGTATCTCAAAAATATGATTATTTCTTCTTGATGCACGACAACTTTCTTACATCCTCCCACTTTAATAGCTATACTTCCCACTTTATAGCCCTCTAAACTGCCTGGAAAATCTTTCAACAGTTGCCGTCCATCAATTCCATTCCTCAACACTTTTCTATTTTCCACTTACAACCCCTACTTGCAAGGAAAATTCACCATGATAAAAAGTTGAAAGTATTCCATACAACACCTAGGAAGACTAGTGACAGACATTGTGCGAATAGCCTGGTAAAAATATCCGTCACTGAATAATCCTATTTCCACCGTGTTCACGGTGCTTGTGTGGACGCAGCGATAGGGAGATAAAACTAGATGTATACTGTGTCAGGCAACAATAGACGTGAAAATATAACAAGCGAAAGAAGGAAGTGAAGTGACAAAGGTAAGCCACAGCATCAAGAGGGGGAGAGAGAGAGATGAAAACATGACTCCACCGGGTAAAACACAAGAATACGTCACTTTTTGTTTACAAAAATTGTTACTTCCCTTCATTTGATGTATCTATTTATGGAACAAAATTTTCCTCCAGTGTCTTTCTATTGTGAATAAAAATATTCCCAACGGAAATGCGTGACGTGAATCAATTCCACCCGTTCAATACTTATTTCCATTTTTTCCACGTGAAGGGGAGGGAGGAATATGCAAAAAAATGAGGTAATTGTGCTCAATTTCAGCACTGATGAACTTTCTCTCTCTCTTGAGCAAAATCACATGGTATATAACAGGATTATAAATAGAAATTGAATTGACTCGTGATTTTCACTCGATTACCTCGCGTCGCAGACTGTCCCCAGAAAGAAGAAATTATGACACATAATTAACTTACGAATAATATTCAATTTTCAATCAATTAACATGAGTGAAACAACATTTATAGTGTAATAAAATGGCACGTTAATTCCTGTGGGTGAGTGTTGGTGGAGAAGGGTCGTTATTAATATGCACAAATTTACGCTCGTGTAACAACGGATCGTAAACACCACCCGACAGTGAATTCCAGTCTGAGCATTTACCGGCGGAGAGGGGGGGGGGGCATTATTAAAAAAGGGGATTATGTATGCGCAAGGTAAAAATAAAACCCGAGTTTTCCCACTGAGGTATTAAGTTAATGGTGAGAAAATTTGTTTTTAATCACACAACTAATTAATTCATCATGCAGCTAAATGTTTTCATGAATTCTTCAATTGTACTTCATGATTAAAGACAATGTTGAAGAATAATTAAAATTTCATGGAAGATCTCGCAATAATTTTTTGAAGGGAGACATTTAATTCGATTTAGAGGAGAAAAGCTCATGAAATTTTGAGATTTAGCGGGAATTCAAGTGAATTCATTAATTTCATTAATTTGAAATAATTCGTAATAGAACTATTATTCAATCCTGAATTTGAATTTTATTTGCGTTTTTGTCACACCAAGTAAATAGTCCTTTAAATGTTAACATTCGTTTCCTTGATGCGATTGAAGATTTTATCAGTTAGAAATGAAATCCTTTTTCGTCTTTGAATCAAGTAAATCGTTCATTTAATTTTCATTATTTCGTGCAACTGAAATATTTACATTGAAACAAATAACAAAGAAATTCAAATAGAGAATTTCATTAAATCAAATTTGTCATTTCTCGGAGAGCAATTGAATGTTAAATTGTCCATTGAAAATGAATATTTAATATCAAACTGCCCTGAATTTTTCTAATTTTTCTCAATGTTTACTAAGTAATTGTAATTATTCACTGAGTAATTTTCAGTGGAAATGTCCCCCGAGAAGGGAAATAATTTTGAATACTCACCACCATTTTTGGAGGAATTCGTTGATTTTCCAATGGTTGGTAGTTTCAATTCGGCAACTGTCACATTAACAAATGCAATCAGCAAAACAACGACGATGACATTGAGAAGACTGAAATAATTGTCACGGGAGCCTGGCCATCGTACAACACTCGATGCACCACGTGAATCTCCAGAACGCGTCCTCACTGTTCTCGCAAAACCCTGACACTTCATTCGTTCACGACTCATATTACCCTCGTCATAAATTCCCACATTATCTGGTAATTTATACGTCATCTCATCAGACTCAGTGGTATTATTACCCTGAAGACGTTCACAGAGTGAACACCTGGTGGTGGACGTCGACAATACCAGACGATTCAGGCAATCTGGACAGCCAATGGTCACCCGGGAAGACTCCATTTTCCAATGAAACTGGCGATTCAATAGCTACGTTAATCAATTGATTCGCTGATACTCATGAAGATTAAAACTTAAACTTCAATCACGAAACTTTACACGAACTTTAGATGTCTCCGACATCCTTAAATAAATTCGCGTGTACCGCGTCATTGCGGATATTTTTTTTCAATATCACTATTTATATTGCGCCGTGTTCAAAGCACAATAATCATGAGGGTGCACGATTGATAACACTCCTGGCAATTCGTTGCCAGTTCACTACCGGCAAGTTCATTGCCCACCAGTTTTTTAAAATTTATTTACGTATTTTTGTTGAGTCTCTCGAATGTCTCAATTTTCATGATTTTTTATCACCCCATATTTTAAATTCTCATCAATTTCTATTAAAAGATTCACTCAGGAGTTTTGCGGGATATGACCTTTAAATATAATCCACTGAGATGCGTCACGGTGAGAACGAGAAACTAGGTATTTTCATCTTTCACCACCCACGATCAATGACTCGCTGTGACGTCCGGATACCCATGCATCTCTGAAACAAATTGTAATAGTGGTATCAATCTGTGTTAGTTCTGATGGGTATGAAAATATTGAGGAAAATATGGTGAGATTTATGAGTTCAATGGATTTTTATTTTTTAACGAAAAAGTTGATGATTTTGTAACGGGAGATTCGCGAAATTTGAGGAAAACTGTGGTTGAGGATAAATTTTGCGAGAAAAATATAGGGAATCGTATGCAGTGGCTAATAAATATAATAAGTATTGAACAGAAACTGAATTTTCAACTGAGTATTAAAATTTGGGCAACTTCGCACGCAAAAAATACAACCAGAATCGTTTACTAGTCAGACGATTATTCAGCAAATCCTGAGCTCTATCCGCACTATCATTTCCCTCTGATGGCTCAACTGATTTCAACCTGACATGACAACATCTCTGAGAGAACCAATTAATAATCCTGGTCTATCACTGAAGAAAGAGGGGGGAAATTGAACCCAGGAGAATTACACAGCAAAGAGATGATTGCAAGAAAAACAGTAAAGGATGACTTTTCATTTTTCGATTGCTCGGGAAAATACTGACGTACGTTAGTGCGCCCCTAATTCCCACACAAATATTTGCAATTGATTTTCAATGTGGTGCACGATAGCTCATAATTCGGTGAATCATCATGGAAAAACAAAGATAAAAGCATTTGACAAAGGAAACAGTGAGTTTTGCCGGAGATTTGCATCATGTTGCAGAATATTTCATTCTGATAATTAATCTAGTTCCAAGGACCCGACGTTGGATCCCAAATTCGATTCCGATTTAAGAACGAAAATATTCTTTTCACAAACTTAATCCTGACGCATGAGGCGAAGACTGAAGATTCTTCAGGCAAGAACGAATTATTTTCAAAATAACTGAATGATTTTACTAAAGTATAATGACTCATTTTCAAAATAAATCATTATAGTTTAGTAAAATCATTAGTTATTTTGAAAGTTATTCATTCTTCATTCTACAATAACTACTTTGCCTATAAAATGTAAATACCGGACTGAAGGCCCTCTGGCGATGGCCACTCACAAACTTTTAGCGAGGGATTCCGTTAAAAATAAAATAATATTCATTCTTTCTCCCGAAGAATCGTCTGATTTGCACCAATCTCCCAAGTCTTTGCCCCATCCACGAAGAAAAACGTTTGTGGCAAGAATTATTTTCCCTATAGGAACGAAAAACAAATTTTCAGAAAAGTGGCTCGAAAATTTTCAAGAACTAAATATCCAACACTAAGGAAAAAAAAAACTTTCGTCAGGAAAACTTTGCACTCGTCCTAAAGACGAAGACAATTTGTTTATGACACGAAAGTGATGTCTCAAACCAAGTCTAGTTGACTGAATTCATTCAATAGTTTTTCAGTCTCAAATTCAAGCACCAGAATTCTCATTAAACGCGTGAATAACCCCGAATGCAGCCCAAAATAGCCATAATCTTCATACCCTGTGAAATTCATCCGTCACACTGACGTCGTAATGAGTTCGATCCGCGCGATAACGTCACACGTGGTACCCACCGTACAACGAAAACAGTGAGAATCTCAGTTTCCACAAGTGATCGTATGACTCCAACGACGCCACCACACCAAAAACTCTCCAGCACAGAAGTGTCAACGTTTCAATCGATATCAACATTCGCATCCCTCACTCACATTTGTCTCACCCCCCCCCCGCCCCCCGCTACAACAATGTACACGCAAAATTCAAAGCGTTTATCTCGTAGTAAATCCAAACGCAAATTACCAGGGGAGAATCCCTTTTTGGCTCTTAGCCCACACTCGCGTGTCAAACCCCTATTCTGTATCAGTATTTTCGCCTCTCTTTTTTCCTGTTTTTTACTCCCCTCAATTTCAGGAGTTCAACGAACCAACCCCTTCGGTAGTATTGAATTAATAAAGTTCTTTTTTCAATGACACCAGATAATAAAAATGTAATCCAATGTGAGGGGCATTAGTATTCGATGCTAAGGAGTACGAGGCTCAGTTACAATGTTTCTCTGACGTTTTTAACAATGTTGGAAAATGGGTGGCACAACGGGTGGGCATCGTATACCTCAAAAGCACACGTCATTTACGGACCACCACCGGCGCGTAACTGACAACGACACGCAACTTGGCATGATTGAAGACCGTGGAAACCCACCACTACGCCATTCGTTAACTACAACGATTGTACATAAAAGCATCGCAAAAAGCCCGAATGAAATTTGTCTCCTCCTTGCCCCCCTCCCCCCACCACGACATCACCCTGAATGGAGTATTAAGAGTACCTCGTCGCCTCTTGACACGACGCCATGACCCCACGTGCATTCATGAACGCACAATTTTCTTATCTCCAATATTGTTCTTCTGCTAATTTGCCGAGGGATAAGGGCACGCCGGCAGAATTAAAAGTGGATTTGAGAGTAAAAAAAAATCAACGAGACGGGAGTAACTGAGGGTCAAGTACTCTCTCATTCGATCAAGCAACAAATTTTTCTCAATAACAAGCTGTAATTAATTTATTGGATTTAAAGAGGGAGAGGGATTATCAAGCGTGACGCCGCAACAATCAACGGTGTGGCGGAGGCTCGCTCGGACGACAAGGCACGCGGCACGAATTTCATCCCAGACCGTCACTACCGATTAAATCACTGCTACCCCCGCCCCTCTCTTCACATCCTATCTTCCCAACACTTTTACGTCACAGCATATGCTCTTCGCTTTGTACCAACACAATTGCAAGACTATTTTCATGTATGCGAGTTGTCTAGCCGAAAATGATTATGTGTTTTGTTTGTCTCGTCGTGAATCTGGATCGAGGTAGTCTAACCTGGCAAACATCTATTCAAAACACATTCCGCGTGATGGTGATGAAGAAAAAAATAGGGAGATTAACATTGCTCGCTGTTTGCCGGGAGGTTAATAAAATGATACACAGTTTTTTGTGGTATGAGAAAATTGTTGTTTTTCCTGGAGGAAAAAGGAAATTTACAAATTCTGATGCAATGGAGGAGTGAGGTGAGACCATTATCAGCGTTTAGAAAATTCGTGGACAGTTCGGTAATTATTTTTAGGAGAGCGATTGTGAATTGAGTTTGGCAGGGGGTGAAGGGGGGGAGGGGAGAATTTCAAATTTCATTGACAATCCAATTGATTTTCCAATCAAAACATGAATACTGAGTGCCATTGGACTAAATTTTCAATTATTTGAATATACGAGAATAAATTTACCTGAATTCTTCTCATTTCTATTAATTTTTATGGAATAATTAAACTAAAATTTACAGATTCCACTGAGTTTATCATGAAAATGGAAATTTTCAACGTCGAAATTGTTTGAAATTTCAGTGGAACTGTCAGCTGATGGAAAATCCCCGAAAATTTCAGGTAAAACTTTTAATCAGTGGACTATTAGAGAATTTCTACAATTCAAGTAACTGAATATGAATTTTCATTGTGGTAAATTTGAATTAAGTTTACGATTAAATCGTCGATCATATTTTTTATTCATCTTAAAATTTCAACAAAATTGTTTTTTTTAATGTAATTATTGATGTTGAATTAAATTTTCAAATACATTCTAAAAATTAAACATTATATTCAATTGAAGTCTCAATAATTTGAGTATTCAGGACAATAGTTGCTCAACTATTCACAATTCTCAATCATTTTCATTGTCATATGGCCCTGAAAATTACAATTTTATTGACTATTCTAGAAATCGAATGATTTTTACTAACAAGATACACGGAAATTTCGTGTGAAATTAGTTATTGAAAAGTTCGATATACTCCCCTTGAAAACTCGATTGAAAATGTCAATATTTCAAAATTTGTATATGTAGCAACCTTCCAGCCTGCTGAAGCAAACAAATCATTTACCACTGAAACCCCATATTTGACTAAAAATATGCCTTGACGTATTTGTCGAAGAATCGATTAGTTTATTATACTACTTATGTCTGGCGTCTCCGTGGCGTACAACCTTCCCACGAGTTATCATTGATCACGATCCCTCATCGAATACACGATTGTTCACACTATATCTATACATGATTTTGTTCCACGTCGGAGATTGGCTAGTTAACCCTCTTTGCACTCCAGATGCGAGACAGTTAATTTTTTACCGCCTACGGATAACGCACGATGCCGTTTAAAAACGAAAATCAAATATAGCGAGTGTGGCGCCAGGCAGTACGATAAAGGTAAACAGACTAGTTGAAGAAGAAAGGAACGAATTTATTCCACACCGATAAATACAATTAATGATGAATTATTACCGGTGATTCTCTAGTAGTATTTGCACTCAGACGTACATTTTTTTGTCAGGGTAACTAAATATGGTCGAAAACGTCTGAATACGTGATTTTTAGATGATCTGTATGTGTGTGGTGTTTTTCTGCAATTTCCTCGTAGAGCGCCTATCAAAGTTCATGAATATTTTGCTGAAGATAGCCTCTAAAAAAATCTAGCCATTGCCACTAATTAAAATTCAATTTGTCATGAAGTTTCGAAAATTTTGATATAAAAAAATTCATTCTTCAACGATCACTTGAGCTATATATTTAGCTAAAATTGCAATTGAACTTTGATAAAACTACGACTGAAATTGAATTCGGGCTTATGAACTGAGAAAAAAATTATCATAATATGGAAAAAATAATTTCTTGAGTGGAGAACATCGCAGGTATATTCGATCAATTCATGGTAGGTTTCAGACAAGCAATCGGTGCTCTTCGGGCTAAAAATGGATGATACTGAATAAAAAAACATTTTGTTCTGGAACGAAAGAAGGAAAAGAATTTATTGCTTTCCCTCGAACTCAACAATATTGCTAACTCATTCATATATTTTAGAAATATCTGAAGGTTCTCACCTGTATAAATTCTGTATTCAGTCAATATGAAAGTCTCTGATCCATGATGCACTGAATCGGAGCTTTTAGTAATTTTAGCAATTTTCTCATCTTTTGACACGAAATGAACGATTTCTTGAGGCAAACAATTCTC